CGCTTTTTAATACAGAATATTCTTAGTAAATGTTTGAATACATACTATTTTTATGAATTTTATATATCGTATAATACAAGTCTATTACAAGTTTATTAACGGTTTTACACCCAAATAAATAGACTTCTAATTAACCAATTAAATTAAATTTGGTTTTTCATCATATGTTAGCCAACAATATTAACAATTTTCAATGTTTTATCTCACAATTCATTGAATAACATGAAAACATTTGTGTTCATAGATTCCCAGTTGTGTTCCCATTAAATGCATTTTTAGTTGGGATTAAATTTTATTTTTCTGTAAAGTTTTTATATATATTTGAATCATAAAAAAATTGTTATTTGTTTTAGTGAAGTGAAAGATGTGTGAATCGACTAAAATTGTTATTCAATGCATTATTGTGTCGTGTTTTGTGTTAATTACAAATGCATTACATGTAAATAAAAGGGCGAATGACGACGGGGTAAGTCATGTAACATTTTTAATTTAGCATGTATAATATTTTCAGTTATTTAAATATTAATAATTTATTTGACAACTATAATTTTTAAAACTAATAAATGTCATTTTATTTAATTAATTGTTTCTAAGATTAATTATATTGTTTAACAAATATTACCTATAATTTAAACATTTAATATTAATAAAATTTAATATTTAAAAACTTAGTTTTGTAACCCAACAAAACCCGATAAACTAAATGTTCATATCATAAGTCACACTCATTTGGACGCGGGTTGGGTTAAGACCTACGATGGCTATTATAAAGATAGTATGTATTCAAACATTTACTAAGAATATTCTGTATTAAAAAGCGTCGACAATAGTTGAATGCACTTATTTTATAAGTGATTTTACTCTAGATATTTAGACTAACTAAAAATCTACACCGCATCTATTGTAGATGCACCTTTTATGTAAAAATTATTTAATATTATAAATGAGCTAATATTTATTCAATGTTATTTAGTTATTGTTATTTAGTTATTTTATTATATTAGTTTGACAACACATTTTCCAAACTTATGTCTACTGCATTGATTGACTAATTAATTATACATCATGTAAAGACATATATTTTGTCCTAGATTTGAATTTGTTAAGCCATATTACTTTGCGTTAAAAATTGTAACTTACTTATAGAATTTAATTTATATACAAATAAATCCCACAAATATTGCACAATCGAGGTATACTTACAAGTTAGGGTATATTTTCACCTTATAATACATATATAAAACTTGCTAATATTCACATACAACTGTGGCGATGCTTTACGGTAATTAACACAAACTGTTAACGCATTAACACACGTAAATTAAATCAATTAAAAAGGTGTTCACGATATCATGAGTACTGTGATCGAGGCGTTGACAAATGAGCAAGCTAAGGCCAACAATCGGCGATTCACATTCGTCGAGATGACTTACTTTAGCCGATACTGGAATGAACTGAACGACACGGCGCGGGAAGTGGTCAGACAACTGGTGACAACCGGTATATTGCAGTTCACGAGCGGTGGTTGGGTTATGAACGACGAGGCGACCCCTCACTACTCCATGATCATCGACCAAATGAGTTACGGCCACCGATGGATCAATCGTACGTTCGGACCCGACTTCTTGCCCACAACCGGATGGCAGATCGACCCCTTCGGACACACCCGGGAGTACGGCTCTATTCTCTCGCAAATGGGATTTAACGCCTTATTTCAGGGGAGAATTGATTATCAGGTATTGCTTTAAAAGTTATTATTTGCGGTAATTATAAAGTTTATAAACAATTGTTTTATAAAATTAACGTATTTTAGGACAAAGAGAAGCGAATGAAAGAGAAAAGTATGGAAATGATTTGGAAGACTGACGACAACCTCCGGTATAATAACTATATGTTTACGGGAATCACTCCCACCGGTTATTATCCGGCAGACGGCGTGTGTCTGAACTGCTATTATAAAAATAACGCCCCATTACTTATCAAACAAGTGAAGGCCCAGTCGGCCGGCTATCGGACCAATCATTTAATGTCGACAATGGGCGGCGATTTCAACTACTGGGCCGCCGAACTCAGCTTCAAGAACTTGGATCAACTCATTGAGTACATCAACGCCAACGAAACGGACATACATTTGCTGTACTCGACGCCCGACTGTTATGTAAAGTCTGTGTACGAGTCGGCCGTCAACTGGACGGACACTAAAGGCGATGACTTTATGCCGTACGCCGACCGCCGCAACGACTTCTGGAGCGGTTACTTCACGAGTCGGCCGGCGTTCAAGTATCTCATGAATTACGCCAATACTGTGCTTCAGGCGAGCAAACAGTTGACGGCGTTGACCGACATCTACGGCCTGTCGCGGCAACTGATCCGACCCCTGGAGGAGGCGTTTGGCATTTGCCTCCATCACGACGGCATCAGCGGCACGAGTAAACAGTTTGTGAACGACGATTACGTCCAGATGTTGACCAGAGGTCTGGCCTCCTCTGACCTACTGATGACCGCCGCCTATCAGAAACAGTTCGCCACTAATTTGAAGCCACAATTTTGCCATCAGTTGAATGTCAGTGAATGTCTTTTTGTGGAGGAGAGCAACAGCTCTCTCATCGAAATAGCTATTTATAACCCGTTGGCTCACGAAGTGATTGATTTCATACGATTACCGCTGTTTACTACTGACTATGAAATCATTGACGCCAATGGTCTGATCGTCGGATCGCAGGTTTGGTTTAATTTTACTTTTGCTTACATTAAGTGATTTTTTGTTGTTTGAAAAGTATTATTATAAAAATTAATCTATTTTATACCACAATCGTCTTATAGATAGAAACACTTCAGTTGTTCATACAATCACTTCCCGACCGTAAGAATAAGTTTGGGTCGAGATTTGAGATACTGTTTGAGGCATTTCTACGTCCGCTCGCATTCACTAAATACTATTTGCGAAAAATATCGGCAAAACGAGAGCCACTGCCGCAGCAAACCATCTCTCAAGACAGTGAAAACGTCTCCGATATTAGCATTTCTAACGATTTACTGACTGTCGTTATAGACGGCAAAAGTGGTATTTTAAAAGGCATACAAACCGCTAATTTTACGGTTAATATCAGACAAAACTTTGGTTACTATACTCGAGGCAATGGTAAGCCGTCTGGCGCTTACGCCATGCATACCAACGGATCGGATCCGATGGTCATTGAAATGAATGCAAACGTTTCTGTGATTCGGGGAAATTTGACCGAAGAGGTCGTCCAGGAGTTTAATCCGTGGCTCAAACAAATCATACGCCTGTATCGGGACAACAATGGCGTTGAGTTTGAATGGGTTGTCGGACCACTGCCTCAAGACATTGATTACGAGATAATCAGTCGATGGGACACAGGATTCAGAAGTGGAGGACTTTTCTATACGGACTCTAACGGTAGACAAACACTGGAGAGAAAGCGCGACTATAGAGAGACGTGGACTCTGGACACCATTGAGAAGGTGTCGAGCAATTACTATCCGGTCACGAGTTGGCTCTTCATCCGGGATGTGTTGAGTGATCTGCAGTTGACTGTATTGCCGGACAGAGCACAGGGCGGCACTAGTATGAGGGACGGGTCGCTAGAGTTGATGATTCACCGGCGTCTGCATCGGGACGACGGCTACGGTATGGAAGAGAAGTTAGACGAACCGGGAGTCGACGGTAAAGGACTGGTAGTGCGCGGGAAACACATCCTATACGTGGATCGCATCGCCGACAGTATGCAAAACGTGAAGATTATCAGCAAAACCCTATTCTGGCGCTCATTGCCTATGTTTGTGGATTTGGGCGACAGTCCATCGGTTCCCCCGAATAACGTGTCCCACAGCCTAACAGTCGGACGACTCGATCCGGGCGTCCATTTGTTAACGTTAGAGGAATTGGAGGAAAATGTTTTGTTCATACGTTTAGAGAATTATTTGGAGAAAAGGGAAACATTTCAAGAGTCAGTGAGTGTTGTATTGAGTGAACTGTTTTCGGGGATCGAGATCTTGGAGGCAACTGAGACCGGACTCACTGCCACGCAATCACTCGCCCGAACACAACAACTCAAATACAAGTGGAATTGCGGCGATTGTAACAATGGTTATGATAACCCATTGGATGACCCAGCTCAGTTTAAGATCACACTCACACCCAATCAAATCCGATCGTTTGTATTGAGAGTCAAACGTATTTCTTCAAACGCTATATAAATTTATTACGAAATAAATAATTTATTTGTTGCTATTTCTGTGAATTATATAATTATAAAAATTAAATATATTTTTAATTCAATTATCCAAAAATATTGGTCAAATTGGTGTATATTTTTTTGCGAAACAACTCAAAAATATCAATTTTCAAATTGTGATATAATATGACAAAATAATTATAATTATTATTCTAGAAAATAATTTTTAAAAATCATTAAAAAACAATTTAATCAATATATACAGTATATTACACAATATTTTTAACTAATGTAATAAATAATATTTCTCAATTATTATAAATTACATGAAATTTAAAACCATAATTAATTGAAAGCATTGTTACAAAAAAAAGTAATCTCATCTTATATTTAAAGGAATACTTAGAACTAATTGAATAATTATACATCAGATCAAAAACATATGGTAAATGTCAAGAATTGTTGAAAGAGTTTAAAAGAGACCGAAAAATAGGATGAATTGGCAGAAAATAATGAGAAGAATGTAATCCTTTTTGTAAAGACATAATCCATCAGACATTACAAGTCCTGACATCATAGACGATGTGCTCATACTTTGAGATGAGAAACGCGTAAACGGAGGCGAAGACAAACAGAGCCCACAGAACGCAGATCTGGAGAGCGTTGCCGACGAACACAATGACGGAAAACATGATAATCACAACAATGACAGCGTAGGCGCATATTATCAGCTTATCGTTGATTAGAGCCCCGTATATACCAATTGAGGCCAATATTGTGCCCAAATTAGCCAACGAGCAGAAGAATAGGAGCACTCTTTGCGATTCCCGTCGGAAATGATGAGACAGTTCGGTGTCTGAGCTCTGGCTGTAGAACATTATCAATGAGCCGAAGAATAGGACAATTGACACCATTAACAATAGTATCTGAGTTATTATAAAAAGCCATTTTATTGTCTTAAACACTGAATAGTAATAGTTTCTCATTATATTTACAAAAATATTTTTAACACTTATGTATATTTAGCGAAAAATTAATGTTTGGTTTGATCTTTACTTTGCATTTAAGTTAATGAATTTAGTGAACAAATTCTTGTATACATTTCGCTATGAGATTATCTATTATTCAAATGCAATCCTTGAAGAGTCCGGTTATTTAAACGCTGTTTACTTTTTACCCAATATTTATCTCTATGTGTTTTTGCATCTGTTTCTGGCCTTCGGATTATGTATTATTATTATTGTATAAATTAATGGGAACCTAATTAAGGGTATTATTTCTCCCAATTATTTAATTTTGTTTTTATTTACCACCTCTCTCTCTCTCTCTCTCTCTCTCTCTCTCTCTCTCTACAGTTCATGCCTAACCTTATATACGATAAAAGACTACAATTAAATATTTACATATATTTTGTAACTCTTTTCTCTTTACACCTGTTCTGTAAAATTGACGATAAATTTTGTTTTGCTTTCATTCAAAGTATTCAACTGAACGAGAGTTTGGATTTTTAAAATAGTTTTCAATACAAATGCCGTGTTTTTCGCAAAGTTTTAATTGCATTTAAATAATAAACAACTCATTAATCAAATTGAGAAAAAGGCTGAATAAATAGCCCGCAAACAAAAGCCAACTCTAAGATTGAGACATTTCTCGTCTCTTTCTGTAATCACCTGCAGATGTGTTTGTCTTATCGTTTAGGCATTTAATGAATAGAATTGAGATCACATTTAGTTATAAGCGATAAACACTTCGCCTATTTATGGACAAAATGCTAGATTTTGGTCAAAGATTAAACTGTTTGCCAAAACATTATTTTGATTAAGAAAATAAGTTTTGTTGTTATCAACTATCTAGGTTCTTACAGGCATTGTATAACAATCTATAATTTTTAATACAACCTTATAAATAATTAATAAGATTTGTATGTTTTTGTTGGCTATAGTCTAAAATAAACTAAAACTTTTAGGCATTTTATAAAATAAATTTAAATAATTATCACTTAAACTATCTTAATTAAAATGTGTTCAACTTAAGTGTTTGACTTTTTAAATATTTAATTATTTATAAAATAATTTATCATAATATGAAATATAATACTTTAAACAAAATTAAATAAATAAATAAACAAAAAAAAAAATTAAAATTAATTTTTGAAAATCTACTTAACATTTAATAACTACTTATGAAATACAAGTTTTAAATGAATTCACTGATCAACAACTTAATGAACATTTCAAGGAATTTATATTTTATTGCTTTAAATATGAATTTCATAGTAATTAACAAAATAATATAAAAACGAGTAAAAAAGTAAATTTTAATTATTTAATAAAACAAATGCTTTGAAAGACACAATCTATGCAAAGGTAACACCTTTTTCACGGGCGGGTCTCCTCTTAACGCCCCAACGATTCAATATAATCACAAATAATAGCGACAATACTATGGCTACTATTTCAAGACCGAGGAGGTAATAGTTGGACGAGACTTCCGGCAGAGTTAGATTAAAATCAGGCAGGAATATACCGGATAAGGCAAACACCAGGATCATTGTTGAGCTGAAAAGTACCTGAATTGCAATTGAAAATCTCATTTAATGAAATGTTTAATTAAAACTCAAACAGAAAAATAAAATTAAAACTATTTCAATGAAATATTCAAACAATTAGTTTGCGAACAGAAAATGTGTTAATTAATTGAAACCATTTATTAATTATTGCACAAATAAGGCGTTAATTTCTGATTGTATAATAGGACTAATCGTGTTATTTAAGTGTAACTTATATTTATTGTAATTAATATTTGTTATTTGTTTTGAAACTCTAAATCTAAATCCATATTAAAAATTGAGATCAATTTGTGGTATTAGTTGTATTCATTTTAGTGACTGTCGGGGGTATTACCAAACATGGATTGATCCAAACGGTGCCGATAACTCCCGCGACCGTGAAGATAGCGGCCATCATTGTCACCACAACCCATACAATGAGTGAAGTTGTGATCCTCCTTTCGGGTAGAGTTGGTCACACCGTAGAGGTGATGGCCGTCCGGATCGTGGATCAGATGTGTCTCTCCGGCCACGTCTATGTCGTCGCCAATGGCATCGATGGCTATAATAAAATAATAACCGCTTATTATGAAGAGTACTGTGAGGACAATGACCAGAAGGATCCGGACTATAGTGAGCGCAACACCACTAAAGCCAGAGCTCGTGTACTTCTGTGCCATTTATTTATTTGTTTAGCGATTATTATTCTGAAGTTTATTAATAGACGAGCAAAACGCGACTGACTGTCGAGCAAAACAGTGGGAAATGAAAAATACACTTAAGATTTTAGCATTGATTTAGAGATAAAAAATAAAAGAAAACTTTTTTCTCATTAGAAAAGTTTTCGACGAAAAAATATGGTTTCAAAATATAAATCAAATGAGAAAACAAATACTCTTTTGTGAATTCCGTTTTCGCGGAGTTGTAATTGTTTTGTGAAATAAGAGTTTTGTGTTTTTGAATCTAATTTAAAGTTATGTTTTGTGTCGTGAAATGTAATCAACAAAATAAATGATACGTTTATTTGCGGCGCTATTTGCGAGACACACCTCGTATTCATCTTTGGTTATGGTTTCAATGATTTCAATGGTTTCGCCGTATTTTCTCTTCAGAGCTATAAGACTCTTCAGAACTCTCTCTCACTCTTAATAGCATCAAAATGTGTGGAAAAATTGAATGTGAACTACGAGTCTATAAGTCTTATTATAGCATACATTTAATGAGTGAATAATTGTTTTAAAAATAACACTTCTCTATGAGATTCTCGCACTGTATATGCATTGTGTATACAATTTGAATCACTAGTTATTTTAAACCTTGAATTTCAATGTTAAACAATTTCCATTCAATCAGTAAATAATAATCTGTTTTACATACTTATGGCCGACTATTCAGTAATAATAATAGGATTTGTGTTCAAATTCTTAAGTCATTGTTTATTTATCTGTAAATCACAAACTAAAACACTTTCACTCATTGTAAACGTTTAAACACTTATTCTTACCATATTCTTAGGCATGAAATCAAAGATATAGTACAAAAAACTAATAACTAGTTAATTAAATGAATGCATTTTTTAAAGCCAAATGATTTACCCGTAGCGACCACACATATGGTAAACACACGCTAATAGTTATAACCTTTAAAATTAATCCCTCAATAACTGTAAGAACTCCTCTTATGGTTAATCAATGAAAAACTAAAACTATATATAAATATGTTTTAGAAGTTTGTGTTTTATTTGGGCGTAAATGCAAAACAAAACTCTAAACTCACTCTGAAATGGGCAGATGTATGGCTCTTGTATTTAAACATTTACCGGACGTAACGTTTTTGAATAAATTTATTACTAAATTAATTACAATATAAAGCGAAGAAATGCTTAAAACAATCTATCATTTATTCAAATGGTATTTTAGCTGTTAATCCAATGCAAAAATTCTCTAGTTTGAATTTTATTGTATATTAATATAAACTTAATATTATAGTTAAATAGTTATGGATATAATAGATATAAATTAGGACCAAATTATATTTCTATGAATTGTGTGATTCAACTAATTTACTACATGTTATAGTAATTTAATCTGTGAATTGATTTCTCGCATAACAATCATAATAATAAAACAGTATATTTTGTTCAGTACTGCAAACAAATGGGAATGAATTTTAATCACGACTTTTTCTGCTTAAACAATATATAATGAAAATGTTTTTACGAGAAGTTTTATATGTGTTTTAGTTTTGCAAATGAAACACGAATTTTACATTTTTACAGAGAAAAACACTTTCCATAAAATTTTATGGCAAATACTTTGTTAGCAAATTCTGGCGTAATTTAAATGAAACCACTTTTTCTGTTCAAATGAAAATCCATTGAAAATAAATTTATGTTTTTATTTTTTTTTCAACAAAAAAGTTTATTATTTCCATTTTGTTATGTTATCAATAAATCCTAAAATGACCCAAAAATGACAATTTCTTTCATTCATTTAACATAAGATTTATGAAAGAGTTTTTGTTGTTGTTTTGTTGTATGAAAAGAGTTTTATACTATATTTATATCAGTGTTTACTTTAATTGTAATACAAATATAACATATAATCAAAAACATATACAATATTATTGTCTACATTAATAAATTACCAAAAAATATATTTAATAGTCTTATAGACTGAACTTTGGAGTCGAGTATTTTCAAAGTTATAGCGATTTCCAAAAGGGTTTTCAGTAAATATTTTCAATGATTTATTAGAAATGCTTTTTATAAATTTTTGTTAAATAATAAATTATCAAGAATTAAGTCATTTTTATAAATAAACATAATATTAAATGTAAAATAAAAATAATAAATGATATAAAATATTATCAAACATTTATAGTAATATATTTACTACACGTTTACCAATTGATTGTTAAAAATCAATGGATTAATCAAATTATTTAAAACTCTACGCCAATAGTTGTATAATTGATTAAACAGTATGTTTTGGATACTAATCACACATTAATACAAATAATTAATAACATAATAACCGTCTAATTAGTCGTCACAAACAATATATAACTTATAACTAGTAATTATATAATCAAAATGGAAATCATATAATAATAGTCATTAATATCTTAATTATAATAATAATAAAATCAGATCTGGAAAAAGAGTAAATTGAGTTTCAATTGAAAAAATAAACACAAAAAACTAGAAAACATTAAGAAGAAGGAAAAACTTGTGCCGCAAAGAGAGAGAGCTGGTGTTTGGGGGCGAGTATGGGATGTATGGGCACAGGTATACGAGGGTTTAGGCGGCCGTATGGCCCTGTCTGATGAGAAAGGCGAACACATAGGCCAGTATAGCGGACCCGATCCACGGTATGGCAAACCAGGTCTCGGTGTGCAAAACGAAACCCAAGATAATGAGCACAGTTTGCAAAATGGCGAATATGAGTGTGAATAGGAAGTGCTCCCGATATGTGCCGACCAAACCCAACACCGCATTACCCGCTATGAGAGCAGTGGTGATGGCGTTATTGCGGGCGCTGTCGTTGCGGCTGTTTTTGCTGATAGCCATCACCGCCTGAACGAAGTACACGAGCATCAGAACCAATACAATGATGAGGAATACCATCAAAATTATCTTCACGATAGAGTAGGCGTTCGCCATTTTTTATGCCCTTTTTGTGGATGTTTTTGAATCACAAGAATATTTTTGGTGAACTTTATGTTCGTTAAGTGCTGTTGTCTTCCGTCCGTTCAATAACTGTTCAAAAACACACACCAAAAAAGTCTTGACACAAATGTGGGACAGAAAAATATTTTGTCAAAAACTTTAAAACTTTTTTCCTTTTCTTTCTCTTCACACAAAACTTCACTCAAAAACTGAGGACTCGTTCGCCAAAAAGCTGGTGAGAAAACAAACTCACAATAAATAAATTTATTTTTATGTATTTCTCTCTCGCAATCACTATTTCTCAGTATAAGAGAGACAGTAATACACGGATTCGTAGCGAAGAAAGAGATTTAGTCTTATTTTAGACGTCGAGTAAGAGATAGAAAGTGAATGAATGTGAGAGAGAGTGAGGGAACGGATGGGAAGACAAGTGCCACACAAGTGCTGGCGATGCGAGCGTTTCACTCAATTAGTTGTGTTGTGGGAGCGGATAGAGAGGGCAAACTCAGTGCAATCCCTCTATGCCTCACAAAACTGTAGGACTGGTAAAAATTGGTGAACACAACTGTAACTCACTTTCCTCTCTCTCTACTATTGACGATAAGATTTGTGCGGAGAATATCTGAAAGTTGTATTTAAAGCTAATATTTAACAGTTCATTAAAATACTAACTTTACTTGTTTTGCAACCCAAACGCTGAGAGAAAACTTTTCAAACCAAAAATCTCAAACTCACACTAATGGCACACATATAGTGAATACATATACAGTACACATACATTACATAATATGTGGTGAATATTATTTCTGTAGATAACTTTGTATTCACTCTCACTGTAAGCCAATCTGTGGGATGGAGTGTCCGCTCCTCTCGTGTATGAATTGTGTTCATAAGCCCTGAAAGCAAACACTTTTCATTTGGCAGCGAAAGCACTGAATTTTATGAATATATTCTTTGGTAACGAAGACAATGGATATAACAACACATGCAAAACACAATACAGTAATAAATTTTGATGTGTTTTCACGCATTCAATAATTGGCTGGTTTTACTGAAACACTAATTGTAGTAATTTTACCACAAAAAAAACATTATGGTTGTTTTTTCAAACAAACCAAAGGCTTACGTAATAAATATGTATAATAACTAACTTATCGTATAATCGCTTAATTCACTCATTATTAGTCATCATTTAATTTTATAAATATTTTCGTTTTTATCATTCGGTTATAAAATGTGTTTTTAAGGCTAGGCTTTCGTTTAAATGAATTATTTAATAGTTATAAAGTGTTTGATAAGGATTTTCTTTATAGATTTCTTTCATAACTGTTTACAAATAGGAATTCCTGTGAATTTTCTCTTGTTTTTATGATTTAACGACAGAAATGAGTTTTCCGATCGTATCACATGTTTTAATGGATCTCGCTCTCTCTCTCTCTCTCTCTCTCTATGAGTTTGCCCTCTCTATCCGCTCCCACAACACAACTAATTGAGTGAAACGCTCGCATCGCCAGCACTTGTGTGGCACTTGTCTTCCCATCCGTTCCCTCACTCTCTCTCACATTCATTCACTTTCTTTCTCTGTTTGTTTATAATGTAAATGTCTTTCCTTTTGTATAAAATTAAAAATTCAATTCCCTTTTATTGAATGACAATAAACTCTTTGAATGTTTACAAGTGATGTATAAATGAATTTTCAATTTACAAAAACTAATTAAATATCGATAATAATGTCATATTATGGCCCATATCTGGAAAATGCTTTTAACTGTTTTGAGCTCTCAATCAAATTGAATTAAAAACATATTTTCAATTAAAACAAATCTCATTCAATATAAATCTCTTTGATGTGAAATAATCAGATTCAATGTGTTAATCATACCATCAAAACACACTTAATGTTTATATTTTGTTGTTTATATTTTAATGTCATTTTAATTCAATAAATTCAAAAACCTTTATACAAAGTTTGTGTTTTTCGTTTGATTGCATTCACAGATTAATTATGAAAAATATTTACTTTTAAACAAGTTTACAATAACAACAAATAGCACTGTATTAACAAATCATAGCCACTGTATAATTGATTAAAAATTTTGTTTTTGGTATAAAGTTTTATTATATACTTTCAAACAATCGGCGAAATTATATAATATTGAATGCCATAAAAGGAAACAAAATTATTTTACCACAAAAGCAAAATTCAAAAAATGTTGTTAAAACATGCTTTCAATGCATTTCTGTTGTGACATAATTTGTTGAAATAATTGTTTCATATTTTAAAATATTCTGTAATTTAATTGAATATTTAAATGAATTATTATTATTACATAAATTAAATTTAATGAACCCTTCCGTACGCTCCAAATGGTTACTGGATATTAAATTACGTTAAAATACTCTATAATTTTAGTCAATTAAATATTTATTAAAATAAATATTTGTATTAAAAAACTAGAATTTGTTAATAAAAAATAATCCTCTTTAAGAAAATGCTGGGAAAGAGATATGAAATATTAATACCAAATATGAGATAAAATGCATTTAAAATACATTACGAGAACATTACCATCAATTGATCCAATCCTTGAACAAACGCCAACACAATTCACATTTGTATTCAATATGTATACAAATGTTTTCTTCTCCTTTATGTGAAAACATAGGAATTCACCAAAAATTATACGGATTTTAATTATATGTTTAATAGTTATTGTTATGATTTATGATTGCATTCAAATTATATTGAATAT